AACTTGGTAGCCTATCTGTGTTCAGCTCTTCTTTCCAACATACACTGCTTTTTAATAACATTTAGGCAAAAAATCATCTATGTTTCAACAACTTATGGAACGATGCAAGGTAAACGTCAGCAAGTTGTAGCACATTTCCGCTGAAGTACTGTATTTTCGTTCTAAATAAACTATATGGCAGTGTATGTATGCGTCTGGCAAAAATGACAGTCTTTTTGATGGGCAAAGCGGTTTGTGTTGAATGGTATCCATGCAATGTTAAAAGAACACAAGGAGGGTTCATCGATGAATTAAAAGCATCCGCTTGAGCGGATATGTGTGAAATTATGCGGTTGAGAGAGGTCTAAAATGAAGGAGAAGGGAAAAATTACTAGATCCGTAGCAGCAAAAAAAAAAGACACTCGACGACGAAACAGTAGCTGATCAAAGTATTTGATGGACCAAAACATTTCTTACCATTATAATAATCTTATTATAACAGTCTTATTAAAATAATTTCATCACTTTTACTAATTCTTAATTTCTTATTTCGGAATTTTCCCCTCAGTTTTCCTTCATATTTCAATATACCTTTCTATTAAAGCAGAAATATTTGACTGTAATCAAATTTACCCACTTACTGACTTAATTATCATCAGCTGAATCATCCGAACAAACAAATGTCGCTGGTTCAAGCATCCGTATATGCCAGCCAGCTAAACCATCTGCTCACGAGAGCAACTGCTAATGACCGTTTTGCCCCAACTACAGGCTGTTTTTGGGCATCAACACGTTTTCGTGATCTACTGAACCGACCGATTTTTTGATATCACGAAGCCCTTTACCATCTTACGAAACAAAAATTCTGAGACATTCAGCAAGTGATTTTATGCGATTAGCAAGAGTAGCCAAACTTACGATTATCACCAGAGCAGAGATCAGCACTGTACGGTGAAGCTGGAGCTGAATCCAGATCGGACATCGATGAAATGGTAGATGAAGCTGACGAAGCAACTGATGAAGCTGAAGACATTTCACGTCGCCATCGCCGCCTGCAACTGCTTTCATCAGTATCTAAGTTCATCCTAACCCTCAACCAAAAGTGGCAACTTCCCGCCTTTGCCCTCAATCAAGCTGTTTGATAGCGACAGAAAACCCGCGAAAAGTCGGCAAAGAAACTCTGCCATAAAGAAAGAACTGTGCACTACCTATGCGAGGTAGCCAAGAAAAGAAAGATGTATTCTGCCCTAAAAAGCAGGCACACACTACACTTTTTAAAATGCTTATCTTGAAGCACAAGGGCCAGCGGTGTAGTGGATAGCACGTCATGTTAAGATTTGAAGAGGAATGGTTCGATCCCTTCCTGAGCCACAGTCCTTTTCGAAAAGGATGAAATAATGAAAGCAACAGCATATAATCGTATGTGCCTATAACTGGATGTTTGCTACACACGCAGAGCATGCACATTATTCTACGTTTTAAGGCCGTGATAGGGGAACAGTAGAAAAACTGCAGTAAGAAGTCGAGTGTGTAGTATCGAAAATGACTAAAACAGAGATGAAACCATGCATATAAAGTTCTGGCAAAAAATCACTGTATAAACTTCGAAATTATGCCAAAAAATCATTGTAAATATTGAAATTTTACCTCCATTTGGACAACGAATCTGACGAAATAGGGCCCGCTTTGCGTCGTGGTGGGCGATTACTCTCTGCTTGCGAAGAATTCGAGCCAGCCGATGACAATCTCTTCTTTGCGGCCTCCGGTTTCGGTGAACCTCCGAGCAAACTACCTTCACCAACTTCATCTACTGCCATATTTCTCTACAACAGCGTAAATGTAGGATTGAAAATTCGGGGTGAAAATAAACTCGAAATGCAGCAAGAAGTTTCTGGCTTTCACGGGGCTGGTTTTTTTTTTTTTTGTAACAAGAACTTCTATCGTGAGCTGAGTGATAAAGATGTGCATGCATCCAA